AAATCAAAGGAATTAGCAAATCCAACTTCATAAGAGATTAAATAAGCTTGGTTTACAATTTCCAGACCAGAGTAAGTAACTGCCTCTCGCAACTTCTAGATCACTATAGCATGATCATAAGTACCATTGAAGACAGCAAAACGCAGATGTAAAATACACAGACTTTGCAAAAGATTTCGACGAATGTGACCATGCTGTTATTACTGGTAGAGTAGGGAGATGGTTCTTCAACTTCCCAACGAACAGAACGCAGAGTGTAATAGTCAACACAGTCAGATCCGGATCTCTAAAGTGAAAGTTCAGTCCCCCAAGGCACCGCACTTGTTCCGGTACTTTTTCGGTATTCTAATATCAGACACAGACAAGGATACAAACTAGCGGAACAACCGTAGACATTTGGAGAAAACAGGATAGTTTTCTTCAAGAAGTGACGGACTAACCGGGCTGATGAGAATATGTGGGCCTGCGGGCCGCTCCAAGCAACAGCCTGGTGGACCAAGCTGGCACTTGGGCCGGGCTGGGGGCCAGACACGTCAAGTCTGGCCTCGGGCCGGGCTGGGGAGTAGAAGAACTCCCAGGTTACCTTACCTTACATTACCTCAGGGTAAGGTAACCCCATCATCCAGGCACAGTACTGTATCAACACTTGCTGATGACACAAGGATTTTCACGCGAGTTATTATTATTAATATCTTTAGTGACAATTAATTACAAGTTTGTCTAATCTGAGGATTTCAATTAAGTCTCATTAGAGTGAGGATAATGCTGGTATTGACTGTCACGCAGGACAGAGGGGTCATACACGAGACAATAGGTCTGAACTGTAGGCTGAAGCACATATATATCATGGTTACAATCAATGTTTTAATGTATGAAAATGTAAAAACATTTTTCAATTGTGCACTGCCAATAGAAAATAATATAAATAAAATTGTTCTTCATTCTTTAAAATGGACAAGCAAATTTTGGATAAATTGACAATATAGATGACACAACAAGCATCGAGTCTGATATAACTTTGGTCTTTCAATGGGCCACATATACTAATATGATGTTTAATTAAAATAAATTCCGCTATTGATTTAATACTGCGCTATTAAAAAACGAAAACCATATATAAAACGGAATCAAATCACACTATAGAACGAAAAAGTAAAATAAAATATCAAGGAGTAATCATGACGGAAGACCTTACCTTTAGAGAACATAAAGTAGCTATCACGACTGTAAGAAAAATGACAGGTTGTATAACAAGGACCTTCCAAACAAGGGATGTCGTACCAATGATGATACTTTTCAGGACACTAGTGCTCTCTAGGGTGGACTTTTCAACACTCTCCTGCTACACATAAGGGGAATAACTGGCCGACCTCTCAGTGTTCAAAAGAGAACACGACAGACACCTCAAAAGAATACCTGATCAACCAGGCTGTGATGCATAAGTCAAGCTGCGAGCAGCCGCGTCCAACAGCCAGGGGCCAGATTCACGAAACAGTTACGCAAGCACTTACGAACCTATACATCTTTTCTCAATCGTTGGCGGCTTTGTTTACAATTATTAAGTAGTCAATGAGCTCTGAAGCACCAGGAGGCTGTTTATAACAATAACAACAGTTGATTGGGAAGCTTTCAAGCTTGTTAACTGTTTGATAAATATAACCAGAGCCGTCAAAGATTGAGGAAAGATGTACACGTTCGTAAGTACTTGCATAACTGCTTCGTGAATCTGGCCTCCGGTTGACTTCACGACGAACTGGGAGGCCTGGTCGGAGACCGGGCCGCGGAACCGTTGAGCCCCGGAACCTCCACAAGGTCGGCATGTAATATTGAACGTCGGAAGACACAACGACGGTCACTTCCCCACGACAAACAAGTAACTCTTACCACAGAAGACGACATCCAGGAAACTCCATCAGCAATGCGATTTACGTCGTCTCCCGAAGGCAACACGAGCCGTAAGTAAAAGAATCAGGTAATTTTGGTAAAGAAATGTAAAATTTGGGTGGTTACTTGGGTCATTATCCCACACCCACTCACTGTGACTTACCTCACCACCACCACCACCAGTCCGCTCTACGCCCTGTTAGCATAATGGTCTGGAAGCAAGACGCCATTTTGTGTAATTTCAGCATTATGCTAAGTCCGTGGTGGAAAGAAAATGTAATGATATTGTGGAGCGTGTTGGGCCGTGTCCAACAGTGACGATGATACAACACGATGTCACCAAAAAGATGAAACAAAATAAATGAGAAAAACGACGGGATAAAACGAGGAAGAAAGGCAGGAGAAAAGTTGAGAGAAAAATTATGAGCGTACTGAAAAAAAGAGGCAATGGGAGAAAGAGGAGTAGAGGAATAGAAGAAGATGGGATGGTAAGCGAGCTGAGAATGTTCCAAAATATTACACTACGATACACAGAGGAACCATTAATCTTACGCAGCCGCAAGAACCACCACTTTTGAACCAAACTTAATGAAACTTCATTTCGCTTGCGTAAAGTTCATTTAACTTGCATCCCGCTAGACCTCTGGGCGGGAGCGCCTGTGATGCCAAAATTGTTCTTCCAGTTTAACACCTCCACAGTCGCCCCAAACACGGACCCTTCCACACCCGGCGCCTTCTCTGGTCTCCTGTGGTCAAGCTACTCTGATAAATACCATTGAAACTGCTGAAACTCAAGTCTAGTTGTGGTTTAAGACTGACACTTGAGGGCAAAGTAGCTACTTCCAGCTAGATCGAAGGTAGTCCTAGGTGGCCATAAGCCAAGTTTACCTGTGGATGATTTCGAGAGTTCTTCTACTCTCGTAGCTTGGCATGGGGAACAAGATCAGGGTTCATGAAGCATTTCGACACCACTTACGAAACCTGTACATCTATTAACAACCATGGTAGCTTGTTAATATTTATGAAACAGTTTACGAGCTTGGAAACTTTAGAACGCAATGTTTATATTATTATAAACAACCTCGTAGTGCTTCGGGTCTTATTAATGGGTTAATAAATGTGAACAAAGCCGCCATGAGTGAGGAAAGATATACAGGTTTCGTAAGTGGGTTGCGTAAAAGCTTGATGAATCCAGGCTGAGACTCCCATGGCGATTGCTTGGCATGTGAGGCTACAACATTTCGTTGCCCATGGGACTACATAACCATCACAGCCAGGCTGATCCTCTAACGTAAACAGAAGAGCAGAAACTTGTCCAGTACCCTCTTTAAGGCTTCCAGCCTTGTTCCAGCGACACTCCTTACAGTTGTTGGCATAAGGCTGAAGAGCCGCGGGCTCTTTACTCCCCATCCGATATTTCTTTGGCTTCATTTTCCACTTGCTACCATCTCTCTCGCGATCCAGTATGTGATTGTTGTGGGTTAGTGATACCTGCTTGACACCTGCTTGATGGGGTTCTGGGAGTTCTTCTACTCCCCAAGCCCGGCTCGAGGCCAGGCTTGACTTGTGAGAGTTTTGTGCACCAGGCTGTTGCTTGGAGCGGTCCGCAGGACCACATACCTACCACAGCCCGGTTGGTCCGGCACTCCTTGAAGAAAACAATCTAGCTTTCTCTTGAAGATGTCCACGGTTGTTCCGGCAATATTTCTGATGGTCGCTGGTAGGACGTTGAACAACCTGTGAACAAAGTGACTTGGTCAGTCAGGTGTTTGAGGGTGACAGTCTGTCACAGAGCCAGGGTCATCACACCGACTGGTCGAGACCTGGTGTGCACTATTATTATCCAGGGAGGACACTTTTATTGTTAATATCACTCGTTTGATGGGAGGGTATTACCAGGCGTTTGACAACCCTTACTTTTCATTGGGGGAAAACGCTATAACTAAATTATGGCGTCATATCTTTTATTGTAAGAAATTAATAAATGGCTTACATTAGGAACCAGTCCCATCTGGGACATCTGGAACCAGTCCCACCTGGGACATCTGGAACCAGTCCCACCTGTGACATCTGGAACCAGTCCCACCTGGGACATCTGGAACCAGTCCCACCTGTGACATCTGGAACCAGTCCCACCTGGGACATCTGGAACCAGTCTCACAAGTATTTTTCAGTAGTTCGCTAAAAGTTTCATGGCTTTCATGTGGCCGCAGTAAGTTGGTTGTTTGAAGTCTTCAGGGGGGGGGGGGGGAAGGTGCTGCGAGTTCTATACAAATGTATGTTGGATCTTCAATGTTAAAATAATGTTTACATAAATATAAAAAAACTGTTTTCATATTTATGTAAATAATATTACATAATAATTGCTATTATTAGTGAGAAATATATGAAGTAGACATAATAAGAAGGAAATAGATCGGTTAGAAAGCGTACCAATGCCCACACACACACACACACACACACACACACACACACACACACCTAGCGGTGCACGCAAAAACCAATCGCCATCGCCACAGCCATCATCTCCATCACAGCCAATACTCTAAGAGAGATGATCCACTCTGAGGAAAAGTGCAGTTCTGAATATAGAATCTGTAAAGCTCATCACCGCATTACTTACGACGTCAGACAGTATGAGCACCTTCCACCCCGCCCCCTCCCATCCTCCCGTCCAGCAATATCACGTTCTTCTGGGCCAGGTTCTTCCAGGAACGTAATAAATACCACTCTCGCACGCCGCCATCCAAAAAAAAGAACGCACCAATGCCACTTTCTTCCACACAACTTACTTCCCGTCCTATCTAACCTCTTACTCCACCAGCAAGGTATTCCGTGGGTTCACGAGGCAAGAGCCTTGCCTTCCTACATGTAAACTACGAGTCCTTACCCCCATAATTTCAGCAAGGACCCCGGAGAGATTTCACTTACTTCCGCTGGCATTTCAGTCGATAAACGATTTCCTGCAGGGGGTCGCGACGGCCTGTAAACTACCACTCGTGAGGGATCAACCACTCAATAAAAACGTAAAAAGAGCAAGCTCAGGCAGGATATTGACACTTTACCAGGTGGACCCTCGCTCCGCTGGTGTCCCGGGTGCCCAGGAGTAGTGGCGGCTATGACGACGGGCTAATGCATCGGTGGTATTTCTTGTGACCTGCTGACATGGTCAATATATTGGTCGTACGGGGTGACGACGGGCTCTGTGGGGACGGCGACGGGTTCTGTGAGGACGGCGATGGGTTCTGTGGGAACGGCGACGGGTTCTGTTGGGGACGGCGATGGGTTCTGTGGGGACGGCGACGGGTTCTGTGAGGACGGCGATGGGTTCTGTGGGAACGGCGACGGGTTCTGTTGGGGACGGCGATGGGTTCTGTGGGGACGGCGACGGGTTCTGTGAGGACGGCGACGGCGACGGGTTCTGTGGGGACGGCGACGGCGACGGGTTCTGTGGGGACGGCGACGGGTTCTGTGGGGACGGGAACGGGTTCTGTGGGTACGGCGACGGGCTCTGTGGGGACGGCGACGGGTTCTGTGGGGACGGCGACGGGTTCTGTGGGTACGGCGACGGGTTCTGTGGGTACGGCGACGGGTTCTGTGGGTATGGCGACGGGTTCTGTGGGTACGGCGACGGGTTCTGTGGGTACGGCGACGGGTTCTGTGGGTACGGCGACGGGTTCTGTGGGTACGGCGACGGGTTCTGTGGGGACGGCGACGGGTTCTGTGGGTACGGCGACGGGTTCTGTGGGGACGGCGACGGGTTCTGTGGGTACGGCGACGGGTTCTGTGGGGACGGCGACGGGTTCTGTGGGGACGGGAACGGGTTCTGTGGGTACGGCGACGGGTTCTGTGGGGACGGCGACGGGTTCTGTGGGTATGGCGACGGGTTCTGTGGGGACGGCGACGGGTTCTGTGGGGACGGCGACGGGTTCTGTGGGGACGGCGACGGGTTCTGTGGGGACGGCGACGGGTTCTGTGGGGACGGCGACAGGTTCTGTGGGGACGGGAACGGGTTCTGTGGGTACGGCGACGGGCTCTGTGGGTACGGCGACGGGTTCTGTGGGTACGGCGACGGGTTCTGTGGGTACAGCGACGGGTTCTGTGGGTACGGCGACGGGTTCTGTGGGGACGGCGACGGGTTCTGTGGGTATGGCGACGGCGACGGGTTCTGTGGGGACGGCGACGGGTTCTGTGGGGACGGCGACGGGTTCTGTGGGTATGGCGACGGGTTCTGTGGGGACGGCGACGGGTTCTGTGGGGACGGCGACGGGCTCTGTGGGTACTGCGACGGGTTCTAGGTGCAGAAAACAATAAAATGTGTGTTGAATGGGAGATGAAAATGAGTGGCTGCTGGAGCAGTGGAAGGCGGTGATGGTGACCAGGCAGCCAGGTGTACGGTGAGAGGAGCCAAGGGGCCGCTGCTCTGATAGAGAGGCCCCAACGCTAGTCTGTCGAGGCAAGGAGTGGAAATCCATTCACCTCTCGACGAAGAGTCCTCGGAACCACTCCAACTAAGTGACCCTTACCTGGAAGTTTTACCTGGCCAGGGTTTATTGGTTCTTCTGCCTCCACCATCGCTGATAATATCTATCTTTGCTTTCATATGTCCCTGTATCCTCACGCTCCCTGCCTCCCCCCCCCCCCCCGCTGCCAGCCTTCCAGCACTGCTCCCAGCCTTCCCCCCCTCGATCCCTGCCTAACATTGTGACTACCCTGTAGTGGTTCCGGGGATCAACGTCCCCGCGGCCCGGTCCCTGTCCAGGACTCCTGGTTGGTGGTCTGGTCAACCAGACTGTTGGATACAGACGCTCGCAGCCTGACGTATGAGCCACAGCCTTGCTTATCTTGTATTGTTTGGATGTGTTTGTGGAGTTCTCTTGAACACTGTGAGAGGTCGACCAGTTATGCCCCTTATGTGTAGCGGGAGAGTGTTGAAAAGTCTCGGGCCTCTGATGTTGACAGAGTTCTCCCTCAGAGTACCTGTTGCACCTCTGCTATTTTGCACATCCTACCATGCTTCTTAATCTCACGTGGTGGTGTTTCTGTGTACAGATTTGGACCAACAGCAGCAGTAGCATTACGTCGTGTCAACTCGAGAGGACGGGTTTGCTCCGAGGCACAAGACCCTGGTTTATGCCTCGGAGAGGCTACGGGATCCAGTAAGTTCAGTAGAACTTCGGTTTCAACTCCTTTAACCCTGTCGTAGCTCAGTCGATTAAAGCAGTGTCTGGGATGCTCCCGGACGCAGGTTCGAATCCTCGTCACGGCCCTTGTGGATTTATTCATTTGATGCATCACGCTATTGTGATTTGCGTGTGTAATTATTCCTTTATTCCGTTTTATTATTCCTGAAGGGAATAATAAAGGATCTTCGCCTTAATGGGTGCTTTTGTACCGCAGTCAACGTCCTGTTCAGAACCCCGGGTTCGTTCTTCGGGCGGACAGAAATTGTTGGGCATGTCCCCTTTAACCTGATGCCTCTGTTCACCTAGTAGTAAATAGACACCCGAGAGTTGGGTAACTGTTGTGGGGAGCATCCTGGGGAGTGTCAGCAGGTATAGGTGCAGAGTGTCAGCAGGTAACCCTAGACACGTCCAAGTACAGACATCCCGACCCCGACGACGGCGGCTCTTGGTACCATACTTAAGTGAACGTTATTTAGAGTTATAGATGTTGTAGAACACACTGTAGAGCACTGTGTTGTAGAGCACACTGTAGAGCACTGTGTTGTAGAGCACACTGTAGAACACTGTGTTGTAGAGCACATTGTAGAGCACTGTGTTGTAGAGCACATTGTAGAGCACTGTGTTGTAGAGCACATTGTAGAGCACACTGTAAACACAGTGTCATAACACAGTTCTCCCCACCACAACACAATTAAGACGAGGAGCCCCCACCCCTCCCCCTCCCCCTCCCCCGTCACTCACAAAGGCTGCCGGTCGATGTTCATTTATTTTTACTCTTAAAGACTCTCGTAGGCTTCAAGCAAACCTAAGATCAATAACTGTTATACCTGGAACATACCTGGAGAGGGTTTCGGGACTTTTTCTACTCCCCGAGGTTCGTAATACATATGTATATGTATGTGATGTATGTGTGTTACGCACCTACACTCACTCGTTCATTCTTGTCTCTAAACTCCTCTTCCCTTCACCTCTGCTCTTCTCATTTTTACATTTCACCCTTTATTTCACTCAACTTTTATTAGCTAATCATCTATTTTGCCCTCTTTCCAATTTCCTTCTCTGTTGATTTTCCATTTTTCCTCTATTAATTTCATATTCATTAAATTCATCTTCATTAATTGCATGTTCTTTATTCTCCGGTGGAGGATACATCACACGTCCGTGTGTGCCTGTGCTCACCTGCGTGTGCTGCCGGAGCGAGTTCCGGCTCTTGGACCCTGATTCGCAGCACCCACTTTATGATGGTTCCGGGAGGTCACTGACTCCATGACGCGATGTGTGACCAGTCTCTCAAATGGTCCGGTGAGCCAAACTTTTGATGCTACCTGCCTGCAGTTCTATGTAGACCCAACACGCAGGCTTAACAACTCACTTTTATCCAGCACCTTGTCAATATATATTAAGTTGTAAATCGAGTTTAATCAGTAATTTCTCTGGCACGGTAACAATGAGCCAGTTACGCCGTCTGGGTTAACAATGAGCACAAACGCCGTCCTTAACGAAGCTTTTCGTGATTAGAAAAGGAGTTTCACAAACCCTGCGTCACTGACCGTCCAGAACAAATGTAGATGAATTCAAGAAACAAATAGACAAGCTCCTACAGGAAGTGCCGGACCAGCCGGGTTGCATTGGATGTGTGAGCCTGCGGTTCGTGCCAAGTAACAGTCTTTTGTATCAAGTTATCAGACGACAAGCCAGGCTCCAGGCCGGGCTTGGGGAATACAATACTCCCCAAGCCCGGAGTATCCCAGAGACCCAGAGACTCACATTATCGTTCCAAACATATACTATTCCTAACACAACCCAATAATATATAAGTAAATAACAATGATGACCAATTATTCTGTTTATTTCCAAATCACAGATATCCTCGTCGCCATCAGTTGGCGACGAGGTTCTTCCAGTTTAACTGTTTCGTCGCCTCTTCTCTCTGAAGAGTTACAACATTATTGTTATCCTTTCTTCTGACAAATGTTAATTCGGTTGTTGTCCTTAATCGTGTGGACTACCTTCAAGTGGTCAAAGATTTTCTCTCTGACACTTATATGTATGTTCCTCTTGTGTCTAACATTTTGTATCGCCTTATATCCACTTTAAGCGTTAACTAAGATGGTTCTCTAGCCTCTGTCCTCATAACTTTGATCTCGTCAGACGTGTCCTTGTCACCTGCCTTTCTATTCCTTATTTATCTTCCTAAAACTCACAAAGTTGGCGTTTCTCCTCGTCCTATTACTTCACTGAGAGCCTTCGTCACTTACCCTCCAGCCTCCTGGTGCCCCAACACTCTCAAGTGATACATGTCCACGCTGCATTACCTGCAGCTTGCATGGGTTAGAGTGTCCAGTGCACGACTAGAGCACAAACGCTCTGAAAGTCAGATTGAAATATTTAAAACTGACTACTTCTTGAGGTTATCTTAAGATGATTTCGGGGCTTAGATTCCCCGCGGCCCGGTCATCGACCAGGCCTTCTATGATTCTACGACTAAGACTATGAACAATGAAATCACATTAGCGTCATATATCAATGATAAAATTAGTAGCAGCCCTGAGGATGATTCGAACCCGCTGAACTGTCTTACAAATTACTATGTAAACCCACTTTTGGTAGTGACGTCTGCTACAGAAGCTTCGACATGCAGGAGCAATATAACAAAGGATCAATGGAGCCGGTTGTCAGTAACAGACAGGCGTCCAAGGCGCCCTGAGGTGGGATCCTGACAGTCTTTCCCAGTCTTTAACTCCTGTAGTCTTCAACATTTCCCACCTCTCCCTATTTACCCTATTCCAGCTCTCTGCTCCTCGCCCTTTCCAAAGGACAAAAAGGAGAGCTAGTCCCTGCGGGGTATTAAAAGTCTCCGCGTCCTCCCCAGTACCGCCATATTGCTGCTCCAGCTCTCACCCCAGCGTGTAGCGGCTTCAACTCGCTCCTTCCTTTCTTACTTCCACTCTCTCGCATTCACACTCATTCTTCCTCATTCTTCCAAGTATCTTCCCCATTCTTCCATTTTGCTAACACAAAAATGTTATTATATGTATGTATTTATTATATGTATATACATATATATTTGAGTGTTTAAAGGTTATGGATCTCTTGGAGCTCCTCCGCTTCCAGACAGGAACAGAGGACTCAGCAGGCGTTTCCTCTCTGGATCGCCACACTGAGGCTACTTAGAGTAATAAGTGATATATGATGTGCGCATTCCTGCAGCTTTTGTCATAGACTTGACAAACAAAGGCTGCAGCAACGCGCAAACCATACGTCACTTATTACTGTAACTGGCCCCACCAGGATTCGCACCCACGATCACTCCCAAACGTACACAGTACCGTGACCACCGCTGCATTGATCGTCTATAAGGATTGGTCAGTTAATGTGCTTATTACGGGTTATTCATGCCCGTGCCACCTCTTGGGTGGCTTAATCTTCGTCAATCAATCAATCAATCTTGTGCTTATTAACTAAGCTCCACGACTGACCTCCACGCACATTCAGCCCCGCTCCTGTGCCAGGTAAGTCCACTACGGGCTCACCTTAGCCCGTGCTACTTGGAACTTGTTTCGGGTAGCTGAATCTATAACAACAACAACGACTGACCTCGTTACACTGTAGACTACACTGTTCGACGTGCTGCCACTGCCACTCGTCACTGCTAAGAAAACAGGAGTTTGGCAGTTATATCACTGCCGCTTTCCTGACACACTGCTACTAACGTGTCAACGTTTAGGCTGGTGGTAGGACATACTTAGGACTCGAGTACTCAAGTATAAACAGGTTCCAGTACTTGGCGCAAGATCACAAATCACAACACTACACCCCAGGTGGCTTCACCTGGGGTGTAGTGTTGGCAAGCTTGACCCAAGACCAGGCTTGCCAACATTATATCATCCCACAATTCACCTCCGCAAAACATTTTTCAGAAGCGCCAATTTACACCTTCAAGGCATTTCCTTTGTCATTAACCCCTTACCTCGTCCTATTTTACCTTACAGCCTCACCAGTATTATATTACCCAACACACTCACTTACCTTTCCCCAGACCCTCCAAAACACCCGCCTCCACGCTCCACCACAAGTGCTCTACTCAAAGACCGCTCCAGCAACACTCTTCGCATTCCACTTAAGTCTACCTACCTGCAACACAGGTGTTGAGTATGCCCATTTAGCCCAGAGCAGTTCCCACTGTGCTAAATATACTTTTACCTTCAAGATGCCGTTCCTAAGCGCGCACTCCGACTCCTCCTTACCTGGAAGAGCAGAAAAAATGGTGTTATTTCAATACGCAAACCTGCCCTACTTATTGGGGAGAAACCACTATTTATTTTGGAAGGAAATGATGGATGGATGCAGATTATATATCATTTATTTATTGATAATTAAACACACTCT